ACCAACATCAGGCAGTGCTCTACCATCTTATTGACAATCTGTTAAGTCCACCACTCTTGGGCTATCCTGATTTTGAAAAACCATTAGTTTTGCATTGTGATGCCTCCCAAAAAGAACTGAAGTGGTACTGAACCAGAGACAACAGGGTAAACTGGTTGTCATTTGTTATGGTTCGAGAACACCCAGCTGCTCTTGAAACTAACAATCACATTGATTCACATTCACATTATTAGTATAATAGTTTATGTTAGTCAAACAGTGAGTACTAGAACCTAGACCATTTACACAGAAAGAGACACTGGGATGTATGTGAGGCATACAGTAGTAGATGTGTGTATGTGTAATAGGTTACAGGGTAGCAAAGCAGATCAAAACCTTCAGTCTGACACAGAACATGCACAAACAGTGAACTGACTTTACAGACATTACCTGGCACATGACATAAAGTGGGAGATGTATGTCCTGTCAAAGACTGTTGCTGTGAAGAGTATCTTGAGTGACTGACTCCCAGAGAAGCTCCTACTTTAACCCTCTGTTGAAGATATTTATGTCCTGGGAAATTGTCTTAAAGTATAAAATATTTGCTTATTTGTTTAAAAACATTTCATTTAAATTCACATCTGCATACCAACGAAACTTTATGTACCTGCACAGGTTAAAGAATATGGTGCTGCTGACTGTCCTTACTATGTGATTTGCTAATGTGTCATCCACAGCATCAGTAACACACTACGCCAGTGGTCCCTAACCCCCCGGCCACGGACCGGTACCGGTAACCAAAGTTACATCATGTTGCTTACATGTCAGAAAGTTTTGTTCTCTCTTCCAGTTCAGTGTTACAGCAAATTTTAAATGTAAAATGCTAATGGATAGACAAGGAACAATACAAACATTTAATAATCAGTGGTCATAATGACATATAAACTCATAAAATGGAAAGTTTCTTCAAATTATTTAGTAGGCACACAGGATTCACTTTGTCACTTTAGAGGAAGCGGTTCTGACATAAACGGTAGTAACCAGACCATTTTTCCTAAAATGTCATACACTTCGGATTCTAGCCAATCATTTTACCTTTGCAAGCGTAGTAGGCGGGTCCAGGTACGTACGTTCTTTTAGAGCAGAGCTACAGATTAAAAATGCCCAAGGCGAAGCGGTCAAAAGTCTGGCTGTACTTCACAGCAAAATATGCAAACTCAGCAGCCTGCAACAAGTGCTTTAACGTGATACTGTGCAAAGGAGGTAACACCTCAAATCTGATGAAACACCTGGCGACGTATAGCATTTTGTTAAAAGCCGAGAAATGCACCGTATTTGATAGCTTGCTGCGAGACCTCACACCGTGCACATCTACTGCGGGTGGGTTGCCTGTTATCAGACCCGGAGTTAGCAACATCCCCCAAAAACCGGAGGAGGAGAGTCCTGGCCCCTAGCCCTGCCAGTGTAGCAGAAATGATGACAGATGATGATGCAGCAGCAGCCGTTCTTCTCTGCGTGAGTAGCTTAATGTTGTTCGTGTGTAATTTACGTTGATAAGGCTAACCACGTTATTACATTAATGCACGTAAGGTGAACTAGCAAACACAGTCGTAGTTACATGCGGCTGTCTTCTTGTTTGATGGCAGATACTCCCTTCACCCTAGGCCAAAAAGGCTAAAATGACCAAAGAAAAAGTGGAAAAATGCTAAACATGAGAGGTTTTTGGACAAAGTTTGTGTTTTTTTCCATTGATTAAGCACTGCTTCCAGCCAAGAGTGATACCATATATGTGTCATGACCCTGTGCCTTCTCAGCTGACTCTGTATGGCTACAAGTGTTTTTGTTGTGCTGCATCTCTCTCTCCCCTGCACTGCGCTCTACCGGGGCGGAGTCATGACGGCTCCAGCCCCTGGCTCGGACACCTGCAAGCAATCATCTCACTCACTTCTTAAGGCGGCTGCTGAGAGTGCTTCCTCGCTGGATTATTGTGTAACACTCGTCAGTGTCATCACCTATCTGAGCCTTTTTCTGAGTTTCTGTCGTGCCACTACTTACCTGCCTTTCCTCTCTGTGCCAGGATTCTCGCCAGCCTGAGGACCGCCGTTGGTGAGCTAAAGCCGGAGTCCGAGCTACCTGAGCTTCAGTGGATTTTGTACATAGCCCTCTTCTTCCCGTGCCTGTGCTTCCCGGAGACCCTCTTCCTGTGCCCCCTCACCTGTATATATTTGCACCTGGTGTCTGTGTGTGTAAATAAAACGTGAACTTTAGTGACGGTCTGACTCCGAGTCCCTCCTGAGCCTGACAATATGCCCCATAGCTGCAGAAAAGGCTAACATTGTTATCTTTTTACAAAAAAACAGCTGAACATGAGAGGTTTATGGACCAATTTTGAGTTCTTCATTCTTTAAGCACCGGTTCGAGCACCGTTTAAGTACCGGCACCGTTTCAAAAGTACCGGTTTGGTACTGGTATCCGATAAAAGCTAAACAGTACCCATCCCTACTCATGACCTAAAAACAATCCAAAATTTCCATCAAGGGGCTTTTATAATATGTATATTAAATATATTTCTGCAATTTATCTTAACAGTGGTATATGTGGCAGATACATTCACCATATTGGGCTGATTTTGTTTTTTGAAAGTAAACAATGATGTCATGATCCTGGGTTGTTGAGCCAGCAACTATATGAACTGTTGTGCTATCAGTCCCCGAGCTAGCCCCCTGAACTATGTTTTGGACTCTGCTCCTGTGAGTGTATTATGGACGCTTTGTTTGGACTCCTGGGGGCTCTTGTTTTGTTCTGTTCCTGGCCCTCCGTCCTGAACCACCTGGATCTGGTGGTGTATTTTGAGGCTGTCAGGAGCCAGCCGGCGGGTGGTGGTACTGTCATGATCCTGGGTCGTTTACCCAGTGTTTTGTGTTTCATTTTGGATTCATCTTATGTTTTGTGTTAATTCTTATTTTGTATTAGTGCTTAGGGTTTGGTTCTTCTGTGTAGCTCTTTAGTGTTCTCCCTCCTTTGCTCTGTTTGTGTCCCTGAGTTTGTCTTTGTGAATTTCCTGTTTTACTTTGAAGGTCGGTGTCTGTTATCACTGTGTCAGCTTGTGTCTTCCTGTTATCTTGTGAATTAGGATCAGCTGTGCTCCTCTCCTGTGTGCCATTACCTGATTACCTTGTGTGTGTGTATATATAGTGGGTGTCAGTCAGTGTTCCTTGTCGGTTTGTCTGTGTCACTCTGTGTTATTTTGGTGTTTCTCTGCCCCTTGCCTCGTGTCCTCCCTTTGTGTTATGATTTCAGGTTTGGTTTTTAGTTTTCCCAGTTTAGGTTTTGCTTGGCTTGTTCCTCATTTCCTGTTTGTCACTTTGCAACACTGTAAATAAAACCTCACTCGCATCTCCATCGCTGTCTGCAACTTGGGTCCTCATTCACTCCATCACACGACTGGTGCCCCAGCCGTGACAAATAAAGTTGGAATTATTTTCTTAAAAATAAAACATATAATTATTGTTTTGTTGTTTTTAAATATTTTTTTTTAAATTACACACCAACACAAATTCTCCTGTGTGCAGAGCTTGTCACCTCAAAGCTCCCCTGAGTTTACTGAAGTACACAACACTCTCCTCCTGAAAACGCCAGACTTGACCCTAGCTGATGTTTAAATAGATGGAATCTTCTTGGAATGTAACGATTTAGACAGACAAGCATTCTAATGTTTAGTTTCCCCAAACCAGTCCACCAGAAATACACACCCAGCAGGCTAAAATCTGATCTTTGAGCAACTTCAACCTTATCAGATTGGAAGTTTCCAACAGGAATGGTAAAATATCTTCTTGTAAGACAACAGAAGATCAGAGAATTGTGCCCCAAGGCCTGAACAGTATTCAAGGTTATTAGGAAGCTGAAAAACAGAAGAAACAACTATAGGAAAATAACACATAAGACCAAACAATTTAATGGAACTTGGAGCCTAATTCAATAAACACTGCTTTGTTTCACTGAAATCTGACAGAGCCCAAAATATCTAAACATGCAAAGATATGTTTCTCTGACGTGTGTGGTCTAAAAAGTGAACTCAACCCGTTAGAAATGTTGCTAAAGTCATGAAAGTTCCTTCTCTCTTTTTCTTTTCCAAGATTGCTTGATAAATTTTCTATAGGCTCCTCTTGTTCAGGTTTTTCTTTTATCTGTTTATTTCTTCATTTCCATTTGTGTTCTTTTTGTGCTACTACATTATTTGTGGTATACAGTTTGACATGTCTGAGGCAGGACAGGCAGAAAAAAAGAGAGGGGTGTAGGGGTATGTAATAAAAAGATACAACATAAATAGAAATGCACAATGTGTGTGTGTGTGTGTGTGTGTGTGAAAGAGAGAGAGAGAGGGCCAAGTGTGAGTTTGTATGTGTCTTTCCTAGGGTAGCATTGCATTGGTACCCTACATTGGCAATAGTAGGGTAGCACAGCTCTTGTTTATACAAGCACTCTCTTGCAGTAGTAATGACTTGAACAATAGCCATTTTGTTTCCTTTTCTTTGGCACATGCACTGAAATGTTCTGCAGAGAGAAAAGAGTATGATGCAACTACAGCCCAGCCCATACAGCAGTATATTAATGACTAACCTTATATTGCAGTTGTTCTCCTCACTCAATTTTGGTCCGATTACAGCAACCTCACATGCAGTTACATTTGCTCCTAACCCTTCGGGAACCCTCATGTTAACTTTTATCGAGTAGAAAAAAGTTAGCATTCATCCCCCAGCTTCACTGTGTTTATATTATGCTAACCATAGCTGTGTAGCTAGCCACCATATAGCACATCATTATTTACCAGCTAGCCCAACTTCAGTAACCCTACAAACGCCACTTAAAAAAAGATTTCCAGATTTTCTATTATATTCCATGACTTTGTAGCTCCAGATGTTGCGAATATTAAACCACACAGTGATAGTTGCAGAACTGTACAGATTCTGAAGTACATATTGCAAAGCTTTAATGAATTTAAGACAGATTAATGACACACCTTCATTCAATGCTCTTTTTTTATTGATTTAGAAGATGAGAGATAAGAGTTCAGTCTACATCTAAATGAAACTGGGCTAAAAGCATTCTTTCCACAACAAATTCATTTCTCTTGTATTAAGAGACAACCCAGCTCTTGTTTATGTTACTTGTCGCTTCATTCCTTGCGTAGCATTACAGCAATAAAGGAGATAAAAGATGTATAATGACACACAGATTCTTCAGGTGATATCTTGTGTGAAGTATTTGTGCTTTCATCAGATTTTCTTGGCGCAGACAGATGGAATAAAAGATTCACAGCCACCGTCATCCCAGCACTTTTTGTCTGTAAGTACCAAAAACCTAGTTAGTGCTAAGTAAACACATGATTATTTTATCATGACCACACAGTGATTTACCTGAGAAATTTACATATGCACAGTTCTGATTGCCCTGAAAGTTATCAGGCTGTCCAGTACACCAGTTTGTGTATTTGAGAGGGGTCCCGTCACTCCAAAACCAAAACTTTTCCTGGGAAACACAAAACAATAAATTATACTTTCTAAAAAAAGGCACATTGATACATTGATCGTTTTCTTTCGTCTTTTGTCTATTTAGGCACCAAAAAAACCTTTTTGTTTTGTGCATGTGGAATTCTTTTTTATTCTTGTTTTTCTTAAGTTCCTGGTAAATAACTTTGTGTATGTTAGCATACCTTTATTGCATCCGAAGCGCCAATCCAAGCATGTCCATCCTGCTGAGTAGTATCAGATATCAGCCTCTGAATCATCTGGTACTCCTCAAGGCTTTGCGTAGATGCAAGGTTTGCATTCATGGACTGACAGTTTATCTACAGCGAAGAAACAGCAGAATTGCCAAAAAAAATTTTTTTTTTCTTTACATTGGTAAACATATATCAGTTCGGTTCGATACTTTGGTTTCACGGTCACTAGCATCCTGGAGCACTTCTGTTGTGTTTTGTACGTGTTTTGAAGTTTGTACCTGCTTTGTCTCTAGGAGCCACCATAAATATACTTTTATTTATTCACTCCACATAAAATGTAATAAATAAATCATATAATACAAAAAACCAACTATTCACATTTAAACTTTTAACTATTTAAATTTTCAGCTTTTTCCTTTTAAACAAATGTAAAGTGAAACAACACTGCAAACCACGACACAATTAATTATAAATTATAATATGAAAACAAAAACAAGATGCATATTCTCTGTCATATGGGCCCGCATGAATAAACTTTCTGAATCCTTTATCATACACAACTGAAAATAGTTGTGGATGATTACTATACCTTTCTAATGTTGTCTCTAATATTGTTGTCCCTGGCTCTTTACGCTCTCTTTCCCTCCCGCTCTGTTCCTGTGCTACTGCGAGTGTAACTACCGCCCCTCCCCCCCTCTTCCCAGTGCAAAGCCCAAGCGAAAAAAAGTGCGAGAGAGAGAAAGAAAAAAACCCACGGCTTGCGATAAGGAGCCGGTTCGAGTCGTTCACGTCAAAGATCCGGCTCTAAGAGCCATTTCGTTCGCAACCGACACATCACTACTGGCTATTGACCAAAAGAGTGAGACTGCAAGCAGCCAACATTAGTTTTCTCCAAATAGCATTTGTTTTCTCCCTTAATGTCCTTAATGGTGAAGAGTTCAGACATTCAAAAAGGAACGAGAGTATAGCTGCTCCTCATCCACATCAAAAGGAGCCAGATGATGTGGATATCTCTTGGGTACCTCCTGGGTCAGTTGTTCCAGGCATCTCCTAGGAGTCTCTGGGACAAACCCAGGACTTGATGGATCATGCAGATTACATCTCTTGGCTGGCCCAGGAATGTCACTGTTTATCTGGATGAGCTTGAAGATGTGGTCGGGGAGAGGGACGTCTTAAACTTCTTAAACTTTTCTATTTAGTTTACTGCTCCCATCCACTACAGCAACAATAAGCAGCAGAAAATAAATCACTGGATGGATGGATGGATGAATTGTTTTGTGTGCAAATGTCATCAGAATGTAAGTATTGTTGTTGTGAAACATCAATTTAAGAGCAGTCGTTGATCCTGAAGATGATACTTAATAACCTAAGTATCAGAGAAAACATTTTCAGAATAACTCATTGGTGATAATGACTGATATTACCTCAGCCTGAGCCCAGCTCATGGGCTTAGCAACATAGATGAAGCACTGGTTGTAGTACTCAGTCCAACCACAGGGACAAGATGGGGACTTCTTCACAAGATACCATTCTCCTATTGACAAACAACATGATTTTGAATTGAGTCATTGTATGTGATAAACTGGTTTCATTGACACTAGTAATGCGGGTGCAACGATACACAAAATTCACAGTTCGGTTCGGTTCGATACTTTGGTGTCACGGTTCGATATTTTTTCGATACAAAAAAGTGTTCATGCCTTTTTAATTTGTCATTTATTAAAGTTATAAATATATATTTTAACTGAAAAGCACAGTTTTTAAATTTAATGTTGCTGAAACAACAAAATAATAAAAAATTAAATCTATCCGATCGAGAAATCACTCATCTTTGGAAAACAGAGTTTATTACAGAGAAATGGCTCTTTCCAAAATAAATACTATATGCTTCTTCTGGGCTATATTCTCAGCAGCATATTAAACATATCAGGTCCCCATAATGAGAATCATGTGCTAACGGCTGTCTAAATGACTCGGGTAAAGTTTGTAGCATGCGTGCCTGTTCTTTTTGTCTGCTTCCACTTGTCTTTGCATTAGGATGCTGTCGGAGTAAATGTGCAGTCATATTCATTGTGTTCCCACTAGTGCTGTCAGCGTTAATCTCGTTGAAATGACGTTAACGCCACAACACGGCAAATCTCCGTGTGTGGGGCTGGACGGTGTCAACACGTTAACAAGCAAACTGCGCTAACGCACTAGTTCCCACCAATTGAGCATTGCGTGGCACATCTGAGATAATGTTTTACTTTTGTCCATGACACGCTTACCATCAGGGTCATGCTTCACATGAAAACCAAAATAGTTCCAAACGACAGATCTGAATGAAGGTTTGATTTCAAAATCAATACGAGTTGCACCCCTGTTGCACCCCTACTGCTTACAATATTCATAATTAGAATCTGAATAAAAAAACAAAACAATTATTAGATATGGTTGGTTTAATTTGATCAAATAAGCCTTTAACATCATTGTATTTACCACAGACTTTGCAGATTAACATGAAAATATTATGTGGTGTTTAAACTATACATTTAAAATGTTCTTTATGAGCAAATATGTATTCCAACAACTGCCTCCAAGTAATTCTGTAAAAAGAAAAATAGACATTATATCATATTTAGGAAAGTTGTTTTTTATGGTTGCAGTTAAAGATAGAAACTCTAGAGGCTTTTATGGCGGTTTAGAATTTCAATTTTCACTTCAGGTTAACCAGACACTAAATATTATCTCAAAGTAATCAGAGCACTAAGAAGTCAAAATTATTGCATCTGTGTTGTTCCCTGCCTTTATAGTATGATAAAAGAAATATACAATAATATTCACCAGCAGCAGTGGTCAGGGTCGCCATTGCAAAGAGAAGTGCAGAAGCAGTCATCAGCTTCATCATGGTGATCTTTAGTATCTGCAGGAAACAGAAGACCCAAAGTGACCAGCAGTTAATATAAGGAAGGATGGAAGATGATCAGGAATCTTATGTCACAAATATTGTAGGATATCTTCTCTTCTTGTCAGCGTCAGACTATAACCTCAGTCTTACAGAGTGGATGTGCTAAATAAGTCTCAGTCCTGCACTTATATTCACTCTTATACATCTCAAAACCACAAGCAAACACTTGGCATATGTCTGTTGACTCAGAGCCAACAGACATTGTTCATGCACAGATCAACAAACGAAGTGTAAGTTTCTCTTTAAGGGCTTTGTCTCTGTAAAGGAAAGCAGTGTTCAGGGTAAAATGTAATGTGCTTTTTACGTTTCAGTTTTTGAATTCTAAAATACACTTTGCAGACAAAAACTATTGAGCTGACTAAAAATTAACCCTACATGAGATTTTATGACATCTCGTTCTGAACTGTTTCCTGTTGCAGGTATAACAGCTTCCACTTTTTAGTGGAGACTTTCTGTCTGACTTTAGTGTCAACCCAAATGTTGTTAGGACTTTCAGTTGTCTTGAAAGAAATATAGCAACTCTATCACCACACACCTCTCCATGTGCTATCAACTCCCATAAAAAAAACATTGGGTTTACACCATCAGTCCTGCATGAAACTGAATCAGGATGTTTCTTCAGGGAAAGCTGGATGCTCAGTCAACATACTCAACAAATACCAGTGAAATTAAGTAGTTTTCTTAAACTTAATGTCTTTATAACTATTTTATGTTTTTGTAAATAAAAAAAGGATGGTTATGTATCACCACATCGCTGATATGCATATTTACTAATTTGGATTAAATAGTTGTCTGCAGTATTAAATAATAACGATTATTCCATAAATAATGGATGGCAGAAAATACACTGGAAGAGTACAGGTGATGTCACTTTGTGATAGTTTTTAGTTTCAAATTTAAGGTAGGTTAACATTTTTCAAATGGTCTGTTCCCTATGGCAATATGAGGCGTTGATAGTGCTGTCTCATCTGTGGGTAAGATGCATGGTTTCTATAACCAAACTGCAGTTACACAGGTCATAATGTGTATATTGTTTTAATTGTTCTCTTCATGAAGATGAATCTCTTCTTCCTCTTTACTGGGGCTTGATTAGACTGAGCTCCACCTTCCTACAGTGTTTCAACCAGGCTGTGCTGTCACATGGAGAGTAGAATAGAATAGAATAGAATAGAATAGAATTCAACTTTATTGTCATTGCACATGCACAGGTACAGGGCAACGAAATGCAGTTTGCATCCATCCAGAAGTGCTTTAGTGATATAGATATATTACAATATATATTAGCAATAATATAGATATGTGAGTATATTACAGAAATGGGTCTATTATGGTATGTTATAATGTACACGGTATGAAGTATGTTGTGAATATTCTATAACTATAAGTATGTACAGGCTGTAGTGAGTACAAGCTATGTACAGGATATGAACAGGATATAAATATGAAAAACTATACAGAATATGAAATAAATAACTTTACAGAATCTGAGATATACAGCTATACAGAAATGGGAACTATGCAAGTTGTAAACAGTTGTAGGATTAAAGATTATCGAATGTACAGAATGATTATTTACACAGAGCTATACAGTAGTGCAGTTAAGATAAGTGAGGGTGTAGATAGTTTCTACAGAGGCTATATAAAGTGCTAGTGGTTGTGAGTGGTGGTTCAGTCCATGTTATTATTGTGTGTTTGAGGGTACAGTTGTCCATTGTGGGTGTGTGTATGTTCAGTCCATGAGTTTAACGTGGGTCAGATGTCAGGAGGCAGAGTTCAGGAGTCTGACAGCTGTGGGGAAGAAGCTGTTCCGGTACCTGGTGGTCTTAGTCCGGAGGCTCCTGTGGCGCCTCCCAGAGGGCAGGAGGGTGAAGAGTCCATGTGATGGGTGACTGGGGTCTTTGATGATTTTCCCAGCCCTTTTCAGACACCGCTTCCTGTCGATGTCTTTTATGGCAGGAAGTGGTGCTCCGGCGATGCGCTGGGCAGTTTTCACGACCCTCTGCAACGCCTTCCGGTCCGAGGCAGAGCAGTTCCCGTACCAGACTGTTATACAGTTGGTCAGGATGCTCTCGATGGTGCAGCGATAGAAGTTCACCAGGATGTCTGAGGACAGGTGGTTCTTCCTCAGAGTCCTCAAGAAGAAGAGGCGCTGGTGAGCCTTCTTGACCAGCTTGGAGCAGTTGGTCGTCCAGGTGAGATCCTCGGAGATGTGGACTCCCAGGAACTTGAAGCTGCTCAAACGCTCCACAGCCGTCCCCTTAATGTGGATGGGTGGATGTGGGTCATCCACATTAAGTAGCATGTGACCCTTTTGTTTTTGCTGTTTTCACTATTTCAAGGCATTTTAAAGTGTTATGGCCTGTCTAGGGGCGGTCAGACCACAACATAAAGGTGATCCATCCTCGTCAGACCTCAAGGAGCCACAGCACACAGTTAGTACAATTTTACAATGATTAACACAGAGAAGGAGCTGGATGCAACTTCAGGGTGGACCAAAGGAAACTATCTGAAATATTATAACTTACCTATCCAGTTTTTAAGTATGACGTCATTAGCCATGTCTGGGCTGAAACTCCACCGCAGGTCCCAAAGTCAAACGATCACTGCAGCATCACTGATAGTTGAAAAACTGTCTAAATTATTTAATCTGTAATAAAATGATCAGTGTGGCTGCTCTACCAGGTGTAACAATTAAGTTTAACATCCAGGCATCCATGAAAATTGAATTTATGAAATTTAACTGAGTTAGAAGTTAGCAGGGAGTTAGCTCACTAGTTTCCACCTAAACATTATATAGAGAGATTTCTGAAACAAATTAAAAGGTACAGCTGTGCTATCACTTCCGACATAAATGAAGACAGAAAAGTAAACAGCAGTGACATTTGTAGGGTTACTGAAGTTTGGGTAGCTGGAGGATGAACGCGAACTTTTTTGCACTCGATAAAAGTTCCCGTAGGTCAGCGACAAATGCAATCGCATGGCAGGATGCTGTAAACGGACCAAACTACAGCCAGGAGAACAACTGAGATAATCCATCCACAATACGAGGTTAGTTATTAATATACTGCTGCATGGGCTGAGCTGTAGTTACATTGTAAGGTTTTAAAAACTGAGCTTTAGAATGAATAGCGGTAATAAAACCTAAGAGAGGCTGACAGTGATCAATGACTGTTTTTAGGGGCTTGTTGAGATTAAATAGAAACGGATACAAAGCATTAAAACAAAACACAACAACCTTATTAAACACAGGGTAGTTTGGGCCCGGAAGCAGGATTCATCACATCATCACTTAAAGACTGGATTCAAAATGAACCAGATGACAATAACTTACCTTCCTAACTAAGATAAATGGGAGGAAACTAGGATCAAATAAAAGGCAGTCTACTCCTACAAACCCCTTGATGTAGCAACTACCATTAAAGGTATTTACAGAGGTGCTTCACAGGTAATGGTGTGGCTAGTTGGGATGAGCAGAGGTTAAAGTAATGGCAGTCTGCGGCAGTGTCATCTTATATGATATATATATCTTATATCTTATATATATCTCCATTTGGGTAACCAATCCATATTTGTCCTTCCACACTTAGATTTAAAAACAGATTTTAAAAGCAACACCTTACAAAATTAAATGTAACAAAAGATACACATTTTTATATTTTTGTCTTCTGTGTTAAGCACGTTAAGCTTACACGTAAGGAAATATAATATATGAATACCATTGCTATTGCTACGCAACCAATTGTCCTGAGATGATTTACGATGTTCTTTAAATTTAATAGGATTAAAAATTTGTGAGAGACAGTCTGGATTAACAGTAATGAAAAAATCATGACCATGATTGAAACCAGAACAAAAGTATTTTAGGAAACCAGTATCTCTAAAGATTTGAAGAGAAAAGGAAGTTAATGATATTCTGATCAGTGATTTATGTGCTTTTCATACTGACCACAGAGATGCAGGAGTTAAACACAACTACAGTACAGACTAATGATTCATTATAATTTTCAGTTCAGTTTTATTTATGTCACATCACTTCACAAGATGCTTGGCGTGCATGAGACACACATGTTTACTCTGTTCTGTAATATGAGAATGTTCTTCCAACTCCCATTAAAGAAACATGTTTTTGGCACCATCAGTCTCACATGATACTGAATAAGGATGTTGGGTGCTCAGTCAACACACTGAATAAATATCAGAGAAATTAAACAATGGTTTGAAGCTTGTTATTATAGTTATTCACTTCATCAGTATTTTCAAGTCATTCTTTGATAATGATGGATCTTTGATTGAGTGATATTATTGAACATGGAAACTGCAGCTACAGGTGAAATAATGTCTGGCATTATTGTGCTGCAAGCTGTAGATTCTGTAACCTCAAAAAAGTGTTTCTGTTGTAAAGATCTTTGGGACGGCATGAGGCTGAGGGTGGAAGTGTACACTGTCAGGTTTCAAAGGTTGTTCACAGAGTAAACTGTGGTGAATTTTAAAATCTACATCCTTCCTTCCCTTTAGACATTAAAACTATTGTGGGAGAATTGCAGTTAGTATATTTACTGTAATATGAGAATGTTTTCAGATCCACTGTATCAGCTAAAGTATCACATGTGTTACCAACTCTTGTTAAAGAAACAAACTGTGTTTGCATCATCAGCCACACATGAAACTGAATCAGGATGTTGCTCTAAGGTTATGTGCTCAACCAACAGCCTAAATAAATAAAACTAAAAACTGATATTAAAGAATAGTTTAAAGTCTGAAGTGTTGTCTTCATCATTTATTTCATGTGACACTGATGCCTAGATCCCTGATTTCTGTGTTTATGAAGACAAAGATCAGTTTTAATACTTCTTTTGTAATTGTCTGCAGTGTTAAATAATAATTATGATCCCATAAGCAATGGATGCCATTAGTAGGTCACACTGAGTGTAGCTGACATCACTTTGTGATTTCTTTCTGTGTCTAAAATCAGGTCTAAACTTTCTGAAATGTTTGTTGTTCCCTATGGAAATATCTGTTTTTGGTATTATTGCTGTGACCAAACAGCAGCTACATGTGAAACAGTGACAAACTGTGTACAGGAAGTTCTTT